GTGAGCAGTTCGTTATCTGACCACTCTCTACATAACTGTGTTTGGAAACTCCAGCGTTCTGGTCACCTTTGTCGAGCCCACCCGGGTATTGCAGTCGTTTCGCTTGTTCGTGCTTTTCCTGAGATCCAAGATGTCAGAACTTGTGGGGCGGCCGCAACAAAGACTGCTTCCATTGGTCTTCTCTTCAGTAACGGTAGGCCAAGGAGCGGTTGAAAATCCAAAGAAGCGCGATGTTAATCACACCGGATGTCCGACCCACTCTATGAGGGCATTTAGGACTTCTTTCTGAGCGTTTAGGTGCACCATGAGTAGAAACAACGAAATTGCGTAAGCCGTGCACTTCGGCATGGTTATTCGCAAGAGGGCATAGGAAGTGAAGGGATGCCAACTTTGGGAAAAGGACTACCGACACCCACACAATAGAAGCTCAAAATGTGTTGCAGCATTTATGGAACACCCTGTAGCAATGACGGATCTAACGTTTGAACTTGACGGATAAAAACCCAGAAAAGCAGATGGTGAATGAGTAACTACTAAAAGATTCCAAGCAACTCCAAGGCAGTAATGCGAACATTGGAGCCATGGAAATGATCGTGCTCCTAAAGTTAGTGGGGACGACCGCCATATTCGCTCTGTGTCCAAGTGGCTCTACCTCGACTTTTTCACATAGAAACGAAGCTTATTGAAACTGACTTCGAACCACCATAAAAATGATGCTCCAAAAAATTAGCTGAGAACTTACCTCTGCGCTGTAACACCTGACTGGCACTCCGAACGCCCGTGCAAGTCCAAAATCAGCCAGTTTCAGCTGACCGTTGGAATTGATGAGCAGATTTTGCGGTTTGAGATCGCGATGAAGAACATGGTGTGCGTGACAAAAGGCTAACCCTCGAAGCAACTGCAGCATCAGTGACTTTGGCCATCTGGCAATTCCAAAGTGAGCTAGTCTTTTTATCTCAATAAGGTATAACAACACAAACACTCGACCTGCTGATCGATATGACCATTTAGTGAATCGAAAAACTTCTTCAGGTCCTGATCACAATACTCAAAGACCAGAGTTAGTTTGCTTTCCGAATATATGACGTCATATAAGCGGACGACGTTTCTGTGCTTCAATTCCCTTAAGATGCAGATTTCTCGTAATGCTGAACTCGGGACTCCCTGAAAAAAGAGCCGATGGAAGCAAGTATTATAGAAGACGGCGAAAAAGAGGGGCGGAAGTGGCGCAGAGGGAAGTGTCGCTGCTCACCACATCCGGGATCTTATCCAGGCCAGGAAACCTTCAAATTCGGTACCAGATACTGCGCATAGTACAAAGACCACATTAGCTCGTACCTCCACAAAATCGTGAAATGGCACTGCGATTGGGAGTGGAAGTGGAATGCGTGGCGAATCCCAATAAGAAACTGGTCAAGGCCGATTGCCTTACGCCTTGACGCTTTAAGGGGGGGGGGGGGCAATAATTCATTTCCCAATTTCCTATTGTTGCTAAATGGCGAAATCTTTATTTTCAGAATTTGGTCGAGCTCCCGTTTCATGTTCTTCATCTCGACCAATATCGTTCAGCAGTTCTCATGGCTGTGTGGAATTGACGTTTCGTAAACGAGAAAAATTCCTCATGGCACTGAACTTAGTCCAAGAGTGGTAATCGCGATGAAAAATGTCAACCCTTCCCCACTTGCAGCGCTCCCAAGCCTCTAAGCCCGATCCTCGAATAAAAATGAAGCCATAGCGGCTTGTCCCACCACACATTCATGCAACTTGGAACCCTCCTTTTTTTTTTTTTCATTTTTAAAATGGCCTGAGATTGGACGGCGACCAGCTTCGACACCCGCAAACCCCGTGAACCAAGTCCTGCTCGGATCCAATCTCAAACAGCGATGACACACGTCTCCAGTCATCGAAATTTTAGTAAAAAGGTCTACAGGGCTTCATACTAAAACCCAAGGAACGCTTATGCTGCCCATGCATTAGCTACGGCTATAGGCTCCTGTAGAACCAGTACCCATCAAACCACTATCAATAAGGTCCTGAACATAGGTCGAGTGCGCAGTGTAACCCTCAAAAGGGATTAGTCAGCGCCATATTAACAGTCCTATCATTCCCACCTGGGACGAAACGTTTTGCTTTCCATGACAGGCATTTTTTTATGAAATTTTACAAGCGCGAACTCGCTGCCCCAAAACGCCGTCCACATTTTCAAAACACGGCCCCATGCATTTTATTGGCTCTGATTTTTTTTTCGTGTCTAATAAATGCAGTATTTAATAAAGGATAAAGGATAAAGCATTTGCCGTTGATCAATCCCTTTTGGGATGCGGCACGCATTCTACTTCCATTTGTACATTCGTAGTGGCGTTTTGAATGCGATGTGGCCTATACAATGACTTGCGGGGGCCAGCCGATGTACAAGTCAGTGTTTTTATCCTCCCAGACAAGTCTGGTACCAATTAACCGACCCCGGAGGGATGGAAGGCTTGGTTGGCCCGGGCGACTCACGACCCAGGATTTGATCCCGGACCGCTCGCGTGGTAAGCGCGCCACTTGTCACTACACCACTTCCGCTGGGTGCATACCGCCTAGTATTTCAATACTTCTAAGAAACCGAGCCTAAAGCCTTTGCCTTAAGGTAATCTCTTTTGAGTACATGTTAACTTCCCCGAGGAAAAATAGCTTTCCTGTTGTGGATTCTCCTGTGATGTTAATACCGCTGTTTTTCTGCTGCGAACAATTCCCAGCATATAAAAAGCATAAGGAGAAGCATTCGGCGCTGATAAAGCCCTTTTTGTGATGCGTCACGCGTTCTATTTTCATTCAGAATCACAGCGGTCTTGGAATGCGATGAGGCCGTGACTTGTAGGGCCAATCGAAGTCCAGATCAGCGTTGTTATCCTCCCTGACAAGATTCGCACCTATATGCCGACCCCTGAGGGGGTGTAAAGCTTGTTAGATTTGGTCCGGATCGCGACCCCTGTTCCGTGTACATGGTTCCTAGCACGCAGGAAATTGCAACGGCAAGAAATTCCAAAGGCTGATGATCGTCAACTGATGGTCAGGAAAGCGCCAAGACACACTACATATAGTTTTAGCATACCTCATCATCGTCGTCAAGTCGAACTCGTTTCAACGCTACAACTTCGCCTCCTTCTTTATTGCGAGCTTTGAACACAGTACCGTAAGTGCCTGAAACCGACAATTTCAATCGAAAAAAATGATGGTACCTCTCAAGATAGCTTTTCATTTGGTTCGTTCTCATCAGCGACTCTATATGGTACGAGGGTTGCCACTTGGGCGCTGAGTTGTGGAAATGCCCAATCGGTGCTGTTCCGAAATTCAAAACTGATAATCACTGATTCTTTGGAACTTCGTTCCGTAAAGGAATTGCTGATGCAGTCTAGGCAATTCCCTACATTTTACTCGCCCTATGCAAGAAACGAATGCCGTTTTTCGCCTACCTTCCCGTTATTGGCACCCTCATGAGCTTGTATTTTAGAATACTTCGCAATCTGGGGCACTAGGCATTTGCTGTAGAAGGAACCGTACTTCGCCAAACGCGCAGCGTTCGATCTCACAGTGCTAGTAGGAAACTGCTTTATGGAGAGCTTCCGGACACCTTATGTCTCTTCCATTTTTCTTGCCGAAAAGTCATGAATGGCAAATTTTTTAATTATACCCGTGCAACGAGCGACTTCAAGATTTGAATGTCTCCTTTCAAAGGCAGAATTCACGATGAAAAAGCAACCCATTTCAAATTAAGTTAGGATGGTGAGTGGTACAAGAAAGAAGGAAAAACCATGAGAAACGGCCCAGAACCCGAGAAATGGGACCCCTTCCTTGCCCGTTGATTTGCGCATTGATGCGACTCTCATCGCTGTGCCCTCTTCAACGCTAACGCTCTCTCTGCTATCTAATCACTCGCCACGTATAGACCTGCGGCGAGTGTGATTAGATAGTCGGTGGGCGTACCCCGCCAACCGCGCCAAGAGTGAGCCATGCTAGATCGCCGAGGTCAAATCTTTCGCTGCCAATTGCGCGTCGGTCAGCACCCTCAGGAGGTCCGCCTGTCTCCCAACTAGGCAATTTTCCCCTTCTTCGACCTTCGTTTTTATCGTTTAACCCTCATTTAATAACACCTACCAATTACCAATACCGTCTTTATGCCTTTAACTACCAAGCAGTTGGTAACAATGAAATCGAAACATGCCAAAAATATTGCATGCAGCCATAGTTTCAGTAAGCGTACCTTCTCCGATCTTTTCCAGCTTGTCATATTTTTGCATTAACCAACAAAGGGGGAAAGCCGTCGATCTGAAATGATGAGCGATTTGTTCGTCATTCTGGGAACTTTCCAGGCATGAGTTTTCAATTCATATCAGCACGACTGGAATCTTTGCAACTCTAGAATACAGGAAAAGTAGGCACTCACGTAGACAAACAGGAACTAAAGGAACTCTCTTTTATAAAAATATTCATCACAACTCAAAAGATGAGAGAAAAAAGTTTTCAGGCGCTCATGAAGTGACGTGACTATGATGCTACAGTAAATGTGACTGGTAATATTTAAGAGTGAAATGACTATCACAAGGAGTCTATTGCTCCCCGATGAGAAGTTGGAGGGGGTCGTAATCAAACGGTTCATCAACGGACACAACGGTGCTGCTGCCACTTATTTGCTGTCATCATTAGTTTCACAAGTGTTGTACTTAGCCTAATGCAAATAACATCTTACAAGTGGTTGTTGGTTTGGTTCGTAGTGATCAGTATGGCATAGGAAGGCAACGCGTCCTGCAAAAGAATCGTAGGGAAAGGGCAGCGAGTATCTACTCTAGAATGATGCACATGCTTCGAGAACTTAGTGGAGGAACAGCATCTTGGTAGAAAGTTCAAAACAGGCAGATTCGCAGCCTTCTTGGCATCATCAGATCCTGCCACCGCAAGCTGTCATTCATCAGAACGGGTTGGAAAGGAAGCGATTTGAATAAAGGAGTGATCAGACATCACTATGACCACAAAAGTTATTCTAATTAGTTAATACTGGAAATATCTTTTGGTGTGATTAAGCAAGTCGTCACTAGGACAAAACACCTTCCCAATGACTCCGAGTGGGGTCACTGCATGGCGCATACAAGAACGGAATGGATCTGCGCCAAGTGCATCATTTTCAATTTACTCCATCGAACTGACGTGTACAGAAGTATTTTGAAGGTGTTCAAAGAAGTTCCCTACCTCACGCGGCAATGGAAGAATAAGATTTTTTCGCAGTTACTCTCGCAAAATTCACTTGTCATATTCCCCCGAACGCCAGATTTCTCGCGAACTAGAAAGCGATCGAAACAACTGGAGCACCTATCAGAAAGCGTAAATCTTCTACTTTACAACGCTTTCCTCCGATTTTCAAAGCATTGCCAACGAAGACAGCTACTGCCTTTCAAAGAGTGGGAACTCGCATGTGAATTTCAGTTTCCTCGACAATTCCTCGACGTCTCCCACTCTCGAGAATAGGCGTGCTTAGAAAAACGCTCAGCACAACTTCGAAACTAGAAGTCTCGTGCATTCAAAAGCTGCCTTCACTTTCTGAAATGGTTATCAATGAAGAAAGTTATAGTCCTTTGAATAGGGGGTACATTTGACGATTTTTCCAACTAGCGCGCTCTAGGCACAGCGCGCGACGCGATCGCGGGTAGTTAGCGCCGCTATACTGGAGCGCGAGACTGTTCAACTGTGTAGGGGCAGTACCTCCTTCAATGTTCTACTTTCCGGCCAATGTGGCAAAGGTTAAATGTCTTTAAAGGAAAGAAGGAGAACCTAATCTGAGCATAATTGAATCTAGCATTTGGATCAAGCCGCATTTGCGTGGCAGCGCGCTCCGCTGCGTCCCTCTCGCACATCTCTGAAACTAGCATTTTTTTGATATAAAACCCGATGTGCAGAGGACAAAAAGGGGTCGTATCAGAGTTCATGTTTTGGAGGGGGGTCGTAAAGAGGCGCGTTATTTCCTCGACACGATTTTCACCCTGCTTGTGACTGGTAATATTTAAGCGAGTAAAATGACTATCACAAGGAGGTGGTGTAGTGGCCACTTGAGCACCGCACGGTTCACAAAGTCCAATCACTGTCGAATCCTGTCAAGACCAAACAAACCCTTCATCTGGATTTGTTTCATCAACATAGCCAGCGTAGAATAAAAAAAAAAAAAAGTCATGCCGAAGGTGAATTGACATTTGTCGCCAAAACAATTATCAAGAGAGTTACATACGAGAAAGCGGAGGAAGCAGATAGTAGTCTCAACAAAGCTCAAGGAAGTGTGGTAACAGTGGGTCTCAATTCACGACCCTTTTCAATCATAACCAAACTTTCAATCTGTATATTTCATCAAGAACTCATCCTCCTAAAAAATTCTTCTCCACCCATACAATAAAACAATTAGCGCAAAGACCAGTCTCCGCTATCGTGCCAAGCTAGCAGCATTCATTGATGCACAACATTCACCTCAGACTCTAAGAACAAGTAATATGTTAGGGGCGGTATATGTTGGATGCGGCACACAGGATGAGCTTCCCAGCTTCCCACAGTGGTCTTCCCATGGTGTGATCGCACATTCACCATCCTGAAGGGTGAAGGACCATGTGAAGGGTCTTTTGAAAGTGGTGGAAAGCTCAAGACACCAACGCGTGGAGTTGGGCACAGAAGGCTCCTAATGTACAGTGCATTCCCTATGAAGAATTGTCATGGTATAATGAGGACCTGCTAAGATAGGATATAATACCGTGCCGGAGCACACAACGCTCGGGAGGGATGGATCCCCGAAAACCTGCATCACTGGAAGCATCCCTCCATCTTGATCACGAGGACTACGTCATCGACCGGAGTAGAGACGCAGACTTTTGGGGATCCATCCCCTCGCCGGGGCTTGCTGCACCTGGCCCCATATCTTTCTTGGAGTGGAACCACTGGATTTGGATTTGGAATTGGAACGGGTCGCGGCTTCGCTTCAACTAGTAGCCATTGTGATTTCCGGTAAGGTTATATGACATCCAACTTTAATCCTGAGCAATAATGAACTTTTTACTTATTCCTCGCTTACAGTCGAAGAGCTTTTGAGACACGTTGACTCAAATGTCATTCGCTTTCAGTCAAACCGCAGGATAAGTCAAGAGAGCGCTGCGACATCTTCTGGGAATCCTGAGGATGGTAGAATGGGAAGTGGACGTTATTTTTCCATCACACTTGAACTTTGAGCAAGCCTGCTTCGGGCAGAGATTATATTAGAAAAACGAGGAAATCCCCTTTGAAAAGTTTCGCCAAGGCAAATTCCTTCTCTGGGAAAGCAAAAGCACCACTTGTAGCTTGTCGCAAAAGAAGTCTCACTGTTCTCTATCGAACGGCATGACTTTCGGTGAGGTTCATATGACCAACTTGAACTTCGTTGCAGGCTTAAGTGTTTGAGCGTTTAGAATGGTGACAGTAGTAGAGCAGAAGGCGTCCCTAGGCATGCTGATGACAGATAGCTTGATCACAGTTAACTTTCCTTCCAGAGACGAAGTGAAATAGCGATCAGCTATAGACAGGATCTTTCAATGGTCCCTCACCACCTGTACTGCTTTTTATTGGCTTTTGCGCATTTGCGCGTTTCAGGACTCCAAATCAAGAACAGGATTTGCTCAAAACTCGTGGGACACTCCAATATCATATTTGACTTCTCTTTCGTGATTTCAAGATATACCGAGGGCAATCGACAGCGCTGTATGCACATCTGCTCGTCTGGATGCTCACATTGGAAATCACATGCCGCTGGACGTTCCCACTCTTGACGGTGGAATATCAATGCACACGACCACGTTCATCAAAACATTAAGAAGAGAATGATCGTGTGCCACAAGCTTTTCACGTAGGATTGAGATGAATAAAGAAAGCGGAAAGGTCATAAAAAAAGAAAAATTCGGAAAAGCTGTGAGAGTCAGGAGATAATAGATTCAGCACTACAGAACGGTGAAAACACTTCACCCATCTATACACCTATGAAATCTACCAAAAGCCCTACACAAGTGAAAAAAATCCTGTACAATTATTCTCGTACAAGCCATGGAAGTGCCGCCCGCCCAAATGTACTGTGGCGATTGAAAATCACATTTCAATTTCACAGCAGGTGTCAGACAGTCGACAAACACAAAACATACCTATTAGCACATTTTCGCAAACACAACGCACTCATACAATCGACAGAAATAGTGCGACTAGCAGGGAGAGGCCAAAAGGTCTCATCCACTCCGTCGACAGCCTGGTCGAATGATCAGTAGCCTTTTCTACTCAAAGGAACGAGTTCTAGGCAGGTTAAGCCACGGTAAAGAAATTCCCGACAATACGATCCCCGCCCTTCTACATCCCCAACCCTGTCGCCGATGCCAAACCTGGCACTGCGTGAATGACCCTTCGCCAAGATTCTATGAGCAGGGTATCACAAAAGATAGAAGAATGAAGCAATGTTCTTATTTACA